ACAATGAAGAGCCCTGTGCGTGACGGTGTCCGGGACCTGGCAAGTGCAACATAGCCCAGAGTGCTCACCGTCAAAATGAGCCTTGGCCTGAGACGTGAAGAATGTACCATCTTGCACGGTGGCCAGAAGTTCTGCAGCATCCATTTGTGGATAAACCAACGCACGGAAAGAAGCCTCCCAATTGATAGAGCTGAAACCCGCAAAATCTTTGCGATGCCGAACTTTTCTACAAACAATCTGCCGCCAACTGTGCTGCAAGAGAATCTGCAAGCTTTCCAGCGAGAGAGTCCAAAAACTGAGGCGAAGATGCTGGATCCAAAGATACAACTGAGCGTCGATATGCCAGTCCAGGTAGCCAAGACACTGCTCAACCACATGCAACGGACCTTGACTTTGAAATCCCGGATGGCAACGAGACTGCAACCAAAGATCCAGGATCAGAGGAAACTGATGCACCATGCGCCAAAATGTAGATAGGACCTGCCATAATTGCTGAAACTCAGGATCCATCAAAGGCACTTGCATGAGAGACCATCGAATGTGCGGACTGGCTCCTGCTCGATCCCAACCTAGGGCTCGCATGGCAGCCGAACGAAGGTGGTCCGTGGCCGTAAGTGGCAACAGCCGATTTGCTACTCCATGTAGAATTTTGGGCCAAGTAATGGTGCGAATAGCCAGAAGCTTGGCCCAACGAGGAGCCGAAGATGCCCTTAGTATTTGCCAGTGTTCAGAAGCAGCTGCAATACGTCCTTGGGCAACTTGAGTTCGAGACACCTTGGAGTAAACCATCTGGGCGCCGAGATCCTTAGCAGCCAGTCGTGTAGAGTAACCGAAGCTGCGAAGCGCATGCCGATCATCTGCAGAAGTAGCCCAAGCATAGCATTTACCAGGATCCAGCTGAATATCCCAAGCATCCATGAAGACCTGGAGGATGTTGATGCCATGACACAGGGAGCCCAAACGATCTGCAACCAACTGGATGTTGTCCACAAAGACCGGACAGGCAACAGTTGGACTGTAGATTTGAAGGTAAGTGTCCAGTGCCATGTTGAAGGCAAGCATGGCAATGCAGCTGACAGGGTCGCCTTCAGGAAAGCCAGTGCAAGAAGAGACAGGATCGCCAGTGTGGTTGGCTATTCGAAACCTTCTTTCAAGCTGCTGAAGCGCCCTCTTCCAGGCCGAGGCACAATCAGCAGGAAAGCCCATGAGCTGCAGAAGGATCAGGATAGGCTGACGAGGCAATGTATTGAAACATTTGACCAGGTCGGCATTGTAGCCAAGGAGATCGGAACCCCGGGAGAAGGAGGACTGAATGAGGACCTGCAAGAGATACCATATATCCTCCGCACGTCTGCCAGGAACGTAGCCAAAGACCAAAGGAGGAATGATCTGAGCAAGGTAAGGCAGATAAGCACGGCATAGCCCAGTAGCCCAAAGTCGATAGAGGAAAGAAATGAGCACAATCGGCCGGTAGTGCTTGGCCATCTCTGCCTCAGGAATCTTGCGGATGGGAATGACAAAGCCAGTGACCAGCTGTTGAGGCCAATTCGCACCCTCCTGAATCGTCTGGTACATGTTGACCAAGTCTGCCTGTAGATGAGTGGGCAGCTGCGCTATGTCTTCACGCGACCAAGCATCCGGACCACGAGTGCATCTTTTGCGAAAGTGCTGCGCCAAATAAGCAAACTGAGAGGTATTCCACTGAAAATGAAGAGGAGGCCGCTGGGGCATGAAACGCAGGGCAAAGGCAAGAATGCGATTCCAATGCGATAGCGCCAGGCCAGCATGCTTTTGCCAGATGGGAGTCCAATGGTTGACCAGCTCCTTCTCCATAGCTTGAAAGGTACGGCAAGTGGACCGAGCAACAATGGTTTGACCAGGAGCCGGCAGAAGGTCCCCATCGATCTTGTAACCGCCATTGGCCAGCGGCGTGACATCCACAACTTCTTGATTCAGTGTGAATTGTTGGCCCAAATGGAGCTGTAGCGGACTGGAAAGCTGAACCGCATGATCAGGATCAATCCGGAGAACTTGGGCTTTTTGCTCATGGATCAAGGATGTCATAGGGGTGAAATCACCCTGCTTCAGCTGCTTGGTAAGAACCTGATTGTGTTGCAAGTGACGAGCTTGAATCAAGTCTTGCCGTCGTCTGAAGTGCCAAGACTCAAATTGCCGAAAGTTGGCCTCAAAGTCGTGGAGTAAGAGCTAGGCAAGAGACAAAGGCGGTGGCCATTCAGGGAAGAACGATGGAAGTCCAATGTGCTGAAGAGGCCGACGAAGCCACCATTGTCGAAAACCATCGCGAAATCCATGGGCCTGGATGATGGCCCGCCAGGTGGCTTGCTGATCAAGCTGGAGTCTCCAGTTTGTGGGCGATTTCGCTCTTTGACAGTAGGCCTGAAGTCTCCTCAATTGCCGGCACCAAAGATGGACAGCTCGATTAAGAAAGCCACATTTCGGCTGAAGATCACCATGTCGACCAGGGCGCACTGGAACAAGCTGAACAGGCCGCGCTCGAGTGGATAGAGTCTGACCTCTGCCCCAGCAAGTTGAGGGAATATCGATGGTAGCGGAGGCTTTGAGCGCCGATTCAGTGGACTTGGACCATTGAGCGAAGGAAGCTGTCATGTCGTCCGAATTCCATCGGTGAGCTGAAGTGATCGGCAGTTGATCAGGATGAAGATGCTGCCACGGTAGCATAGACGGCATCGGCCAATGCTGCTGCCACCAGCTGGAGGACGGGAGACGGAAACAGCCGTAAAGGATAGAGTGATCCGCAAAGTGATCTGAATCCACAGTGACAGAGCATAGCCATTGCTGAAGCTCAGGTGAAATCCAAAGATGATCCCGAATAGCCCTCCCCTTGGATGTGGGAGAACGGGGGGTTGAGAACCGCTGCTCCGCCAAATGCTGTATCTCCTCCCATCCGGCAAGGCGCCATGTGGCAAAGGTCTGAAGGTCTCCAGTGTCGCAATTGAAGTCACCAGCTATGAAGCGGGGTCCAGAAGAGGAAAGGACCAGCTCAGCTGTGATCTGTTCCAAGAGCTGTGATGAGAGCTTCTTGGCCTGTCTGTAGGTAGGACCCGACGGAGGGGCGTAAACACAAGCACCAAGAATAGAGTGCTCCTGGAGGGAAAAGTGGGAGAGCGTGATGCGCCCCGATTGATACGAAGCTCCCTGCCATTGCATTGGAACAGGATGAATGGGACCAGGTGCAATCTGAGCGACACCCGTCCAAGCGCCAGCAAAGTCAGAGTGCGGCCGCAAAGGAGCATAGTGACCATGCTTGCAGTGTAATTTGTGTTGAGACATCCAGTGGAGTTCACGCTGGAAGCGAGCAAAAACCGGATAGCTGGCCTGCGTTTCTGCTACATTCCATATTCCCCATGGAAGAGAGGCGAAGGCCAGAGCTTTGCCATTGATGCCACTTGGATTTGCTGTGCCAACCACTAGACAGGAGGCGGAATCAACAGACTCATCCACTGTGCTGACATCAGAGTGAAGGACTTCGGTGTGTCCAATGCCAGGAATACCCCAATTCTCGACAGAGGTCACCAAAGATGAACTAGAGCATGAAGAGGCCCCAGGGCCCGGATTGCTAGCTTCACCAAGACGGAAGCCGCCCCAAAGAAGGAAAAGCCATAAGAATTGACGGCAGGGCCGCCACCTGCGGGACAGCCAAGAAGGCCCCCGCAGCCCTAGTCAATCGGAGGTACGGTGTCGCTTGCTGAGAAGCGACTCCATGCTCTCGAGCTGCCTGGCCATAGAAGCTTCCAAGTCCGACTGAAAGTCTTGTCGAAGTTTGCCAACCGTGTTGTGCAGCTGCTCAGTGCGCTGATCGGCCCTGGTCACCTTGACAGTGAGGTCGCTGATTTGACTTTCCTGAGAGGCAACCTGCTTGGAGAGAGACTGCGTGCGCTCACCAGCTTCGTTGAACCATCCAGCAAACTGAGAGGATTGGGCTTGCAGTTCAGAAATGCTGGCTTCCATCTGAGACAAACGTGAATCATCAGTGTCCATGCAGGAGTCGGAGAAGGAACGAAGCTGCTCACGGACTTGTTCGGCAACGGACGTGTGTAGCTGTTGAGAGATCTCCTCCAACTTTGAAGCTGCTGGCTGAGCTGAAGCGGTCGGCGCAGCTGGAAGTGCACTAGCCCAAGGATCGCGTACTTGTAGTGGATCTTCTCCCTGAGGAAATTGCAGACGCTGCAGAGTTTGCAAAGATCCAATGATCGGCTGGGGAGCTCTGCTCTTGATGGCCGCTATCGGTGTGATGATGAGAGACGCTGAGCCAAGCTGCAAGATGGGCGAAGTGAAAGCAGTCTCCGCTCCGATCAACCAGTACCGACCTTCAGGAGTGCCATGAGTGGGTCGAAGTGGACGAGCTGCCCAGCCCGCTGCTTGCAGAGATTGAGCAATAGACTGCTTGGTGGAGCCATAGGGCCAAGGACCAACTTCAAACTGAAGCGCATTGCTGCCAGCAACAAAAGGGAGCTTCGGCAGTACCAACTTGTGCACCGTTTCTTGATCAGCAGCTAAACATCGGAGACCATAGCGCTGGTGTGAGCGAACAACGTGAAGGGCTTTGGCGGTCTGGCATTTGAGGTGGATGGCCTGCTGAAGATCACCTTTGATCCAGATCACTGCATACTTAGTGCTAGGCCCCTTGGATAGAGGTTCACGCATCTCGGTGTAGAGGCCATCAGTAGCCGAAATAGCCAGAAGGGCCGGAGCTGCAGAGGGAGGCACTCGAACCATGATTCCAAAGGAGGCCGCCTTCTTGGAATTTGCTGTTGCTCCAGTTGCATCACTCCACTTCCAACCAAAGGCATCCAAGATGACCATGTCAATTTCTTCCTCCACCGCGGGATGAAAGCGCTTGCACGAAGAAGCATTGTTGCAGGTGGAACCATCACAGAACTGCAAGCAGTCAAAGTGCTGGACTAGGGCCTTCAGAGGCCTCAGAGTGAAGTCTGACCAGGCAAGTGGCCACTGGTCTTGATAGACTTGGAGCTTGAAGAGCTCGGGCACAAAGGAGGCTGGACTCGGAGCTGGTCCAAGAACCTTTTTGACCGCGTGGTCTCCTAACTGTATGCAGGAGCCCCGCACCAAAATGGGGGCGGCACTATCGGCCAGGAGCGCTGGCCAAACCATGTGCTGGACAGTGAGCTTTCCGTGCACGGCGCTGGGAATTTCTGTCGTTGTGAGCATGGCAAGCGAGTTGATGGAAATGGTTTTCTGCCCTTTGAGAAAATGAGCAGCTTGTTCCACCGTGCCAAGGATGATGCCATTGGACTCGGGGGTCACCTTGTCAATGGGAAGCTGAGCAAGCTCCTGATCGTGCTCATCAACAAATGCCTTGGGAGCCAGAACCAGTGCACTAGGAGACACTGGAGGTGCCGGTTCAGCGCGCTTCTTGGAGGGCTTATTGGACGATCTGGGTGCGGCACCATAATGCTCCTTGGCTCGCTTCTGGATGTGATTCATCAACTCATCGTGCTGGATCCACTGAAAAGGACGTTGCTGTGAGTTTGCCAACTGCTTTAGGGCGGCCCATGGGTTGGCCTGAGATATTGCTTTGGCCACGGGTGCTTGACCAAGCTTTTTCAAGGCCAGAGTTGCCCGAGCTGGAGCATCAGCTTCTGGGACGCCTTTCGTGGTGAGGAACTTGCAAAGCCAGGCATGTGTCTGAGATTGCTCTGTTTGCCCACAGCCTCGGAGTTCTTCTTGCGCTTGAAGTGATGTTGCCCATTGTCGAAGCGCAGCATCTGTCATGGGCTGCCATAGATCGAAGTGGATGCCCAAGTTGTGCAATAGGATCGCTGCACAATGGTCGCCACCATGCTGCTCCACTGGATTGCTCTGATGAAGTCGAGAGGAGGCAAGATTGAAAGTCGTCGTGATGAGAGAGACGACTTGCATGACAGAATCCAAGTGGAAGTCACGAAGTCCATCGTAGTACCAAAATTCCAAGAGCTCAAAGTCCCAGATCAGGAGACTCCAATGCGATTGGAGCAGCAGTGGAAAGACAAGCCAGGAGAAAGGACCATTGTGCTCGTTGATCAATAGCTTAGAAGCAAAGCTGGCCGGACGCTTGAGGATCAACTGAACAATATGGTGAGGAACGACCTGAATGGCTTCCCGAGTGGAAATCGGCAGTACCTGGAGGATTTGATGCAACTCCTCGTAGACTTCAAAGTGATGAACCCCCGAAGCTGAAGGCACATCAATGCCTAAGCCACGAACCTCGCCCTGCTCATTCTGCCAAAGAGCATCTCCCCATCGAAAGCTGCGGAAGAGATTGCAAAACTCAATGCCAGGTTTGTAATGAAAACCAAGCGTCTCTAGGACCGTGGATAGGCGAGTGCCTGCAGGACCATGAAATTCATAGGCCGTCACACCATCATGCAACTTGACAGAGATGAGGTTTGTGGGTGCAGGGCGTGTGTGCTTGGGCCTTGAGACCACAATCTGATAAGCACCACCTCGTAGAAGAGCGTTCGGAAGCTGTGGAACACCATCTCGGTAGAGCGTAGTGCGGTGAGCCCAACCCAAAAGCTGCTGATGTGCGTTCAGGAAATGCTGCACTGAGGTCATGGGTTCAACCAGAAGGGAGAATGAAGTGTCA